CCGCCCGCTCCCCTCAGCCCGCTCCCCTCAGCCCGCCCCGGCCCGCCCCGCTCCGCCTCCCCGGCAGGAACCGGCCGGAGGCGCACGCTGGAAAGGAGATTTTATTGAGACAAATTAAAAGGCGCGTTACGTGATGGAGCGCGCGGAGCGAACAAGCGCGGTGGGCATGGCCCCGCTCCCCGCGCAGGTCGGTGACCGCAGGGGAAGGTACGCACACAGTGGCCCCTACACGGGGGTCACCTAAAACCCACAGAACAGCCCGAAAACAAATCCAGGAATCACGGCACRATAGCAAGTCTAGGCAGGGCATAGCTCTGATCCTGTTTCAGCTCGCTCTCACCGCTCCATTGCTTTTGATTTCAGACAGTGCTTTTTTCCCAAGGACTCGTTGCCCAGAGCACCCATCCGCCCCTCTGGCAGCCCACCAGCAGCAGGCACGGATCAGGGCAGGGAGCTGATCTGGATGAGAGTATTTACTGCAACCCGCGGCTTTTCATCTGCACCGTGAATAAACACGGCAGACAAACCCTGCCAACACCTGCCGTCAGGGCTTTGGGAAGCATGCGGGATGGAGAGCGGTGGCGTAGCAGAAACCTCGCAGGGATGGGACCAGTGTGCCCAGCCGGCACAGCACAGAAGAGACCATTGTACTCAAGAGATGATCAGATTTTGTTTAATTGACAGCACAAGCCCATCCACAGCAATTAGCCATCAACCCTGYGCTCAACATGCAAGTTAAGAAGCACCCATGGGCACTGTGTCCTYGCACTGACCAGCTCAGCTCCCTGGGCAGAGGCAGAGGACACGGGCAGTGGAAYAGCACACATCAGGTCTAGCTGGCATTTTCACTACTGCTGCTGAAGAGCCTTCTATAAGTAAAGCAGACTGCAACAAAACAAAACACTGAAAGATTCACAAGGCGATACCATAATCTTTTCAATTTTAAGGTAAAGTTAAATTTCATACAAATAAACTTCCAAAAATATTTTGCAAACTCTGGCATATGGCTATGATACAGTATGTACAAATAAAATATCAGAATGGTTACATTTTATTGCTTTTTTTTTTATTTGGTTAAGGAATTACACAGTAGTGTATAAAAGGGTATGGGAAGTGGCAAGAAGCAAGTGTTGGCTTCTTGTCTTCTCTAAAGCCAAGGTTGGTTGATTTTGTTTTGTTTTTAAATAGTGCGTTTTCAAACGTCACATCAAAAGCATTTTGGTACCAGGTGACATCTGCATTACCCAAAMAAGATAGAAGAGCAACAGTGAAAGAAGCCTAGGGAATGGGTAAAGAGGGCTCCATTTTTTACATTCTTTTGCTGATTCATACTTCCAAAATACAATTATTGATAAAACATCCAATCTAAAGTTATATAAAAGTCAACAATTATGAACTGACTTCCACATAAACTGATGTTTCAGCGAAGTGGGCAACTCACTAATCATGCAAAAAGCTCTTAACAAGATCAGTGATATTTGTGAGCAAAATCACCCAACTTGGCCTGATCTAGCCTGCGAGAATCCCCTCTGCAAATGTCATTCTTCTGCACCAGGAAGGTAAAAATACACTCTGCGTTTAGATCCACTACTGTATACTACTTAAGTTCCTCTGTAGTAAGGAAACTTCACCTACAAACTATCAGTACAGAATGATGATGCCACTGCACATGCCTACACAGCTTTTTACATCCTTCTGTTGGCAAGACAAGAACTAAAGGTACCAAGAAGGGATCATGTTCACAATAGTCAGGAAAGAGCTCACAAGTCTACTCTGGGCCTTCCCACCCACTCACACTCCTGGAGTGTATCAGAGCACTGCTGAGGCATGAACTGCTCAGGTGCTGCTCAGCAGGCTGCATTGTAGGCTTTTACCTCTTAAGCATCTATTAAAGCTATTCAATATGTTCATTTAAAAAAAATAAATAGACAGCTTATCTCACAAAATATAATCTGAATGCAACACAGCAAAGCCTAGAGAACGCTGAAGTGAAAACCCAAGCACTTGGCAAGTTAATTGCTCCTGTAGGCTCATGATATAAAAACATTTTCAACTCTTCCCTTTAAAAATACTTCCTGCTATAGATGGGCATGACTTACCCCTCCTGCCTTCCTCTGACTGAGGCCAAATTTATTCATGGATATACCTAGTCAAAACCAGAAAWTTAGCTGAAGCTCTTAACCCCCACATTCTAGGCTCAGTCTCTCATTATCAACAGCTTACTACCAACACAGCCCCTGACACAAAACCTCTCCTTAAATATGCATAATTTACTCTATCTCCAATATTTACAAGCAGAAGCAGCCCATCTCTACAAGACAGATTTCCTCCTGCTCTACATAAAGTGCAGCTCTCTAATTTAAGGCAAATTTCAGTGAAATATAAAACCATAGTTTTATTTTTAGTATGTACACATTTTAAATTATAACCAATAACTCCCTTGAAAAGGAAATATTGAGAGGAAAATGTTTCCAAGTTCGGGAATTTTCTGGATTTTAACTAAGTCCCAATATTATGTCTTATTGACATATAAATTTATAGATTTGTTCTCAATAAATGCAACTGAAGAAAAGAGGTGCCAATGTCTACAGTAATTTAGTTCCAAAGATCAGTAAAACACTGGGAAAGTGCAGCCATAGTTTTTCATGTCCTTGTAGCTGACTTCAGCTACAGTAACATCCACCAATATCACATTCTAAATATATATCCTATACACCTAATGCTAATCTCAGTTCCTTTAGTGTGTATTTCCCATCTCTATCTGTGTCAAACTCCTTAAAGCTCTGTGCTTCTTGGGCTGTGGAGCCAAGCAGCTTTTGAAGATCTTCGTATGAGAGTTTTCCATCAGCATCCTCAGGTGCTTTTTGGAACAGTTTCTGAAGATCTGCAAAGAGAACAAGCTCCTTTAAGTACACAGGCATATCCTATAAGCTGCTTTCCCCCGTTTTACAGCACTGTGTCTTAACTATCCAGTAATTAAATACAGCATCCCTGAATATGGAATTTGCCTCCAGTGTTGTCACAAGCTACTGGTAAYAGTTTAGGAGAAAAAAAGCATGAACATTTCTGGATTAAATTACAGTAAAACTGAGAAAAGTAATCCCTATTTCTGGCCACAACTAACAGCCCATTTTACAACCACTAACCGCATACAGATGCGGTTATCCCCCACAAAAGCAAGCTGTGAATGACTGTTGCTATACCAACAGGACAGATGATATAAAGGGAAAAGTGTCTATTCACTTCCTG